GTTCCTGCCACTCAATGGGTGGAACACTGATGTATGGAAAAACTGAACAAAGTAAGGATTTCTGAGAGGCTTCCATGAAAAGAGTGTTTGTTATTTCAACGTGGTAGGTATTTTGTAAATAATGACCTTTCTTAGATTTAGACTACAGCTGTTTAGAAACTAAACAATTCAGCTTAATTTCAACCTAAAAAGGGTCGGAGAACATCAGTAGGGATTTTTCCTCACAGACTTTTCTGGACAGATTCCAGTAACAGTAAGACTGTTCATTGTTGGGAAGATTGGTTATGCTCCTGTTTTCTACAACCTTTGGCAAGTTTAAATCTTAACAAAGATGTCATCTTCCACTTCATAGGAGCACGGAAGGCTCTTAGAACTAAGTTCAAGTACTCTCAATTTTTCAACTGAGCGGTATCTTCAGATTTGTTGCTTGCTTAGCCCAGTAAAACAAGCCCTTCCTAGATTTCCAGGTACTTTGCAACAGAATGCCATTAAGGGGACTTTCATACAAATGACACGTGATGGTTCACTCCCGTCCCACCTATCCCCATCTCAGTCCTACAGAGTTGTAAAGGACGAGTTCATGGACTGTATATGCAGACCTTACAAATCTTTTTCCCCCTTCTCCTATATCCACCATAGTAAAGTAGCACATGATCTTACCTGCCTACTAAAATGACCATCAGTGTTATTGACATTTTAAACCCTTAACATGGGTTTCAGAAATCTGACATCAAGTACTGGTTGCAGTCAGGTACTTTGGAGTCAGTTGCCCTCCTGTGTTACTAAGGGGAACAATTTTCTCCTGCTTTCTTTTTTAAGAAAGTTGAATTTTAACAATTGTGTATAAACTTGTGTTATGATGAAAATGACTGCCATTAAAAACACGCTTTGAATTACTAGAGTTAGTTGAGGACTTGTCAGTTGCTTTCTTCTTGTTGTCTTCCTTGTCCCTTTTGCTTGGGACAGCTTTTCATTAGTCAATGAAAATGTTTCCTGGCAGAAACTCGTCATGCCTTGTGCAGTACCTCAGAGACCAGGGTTCTGATCGGATGCTGTTGTGAGAAACAGCTCATAGCTGAGTGAATGTAAAGGTCCAGACAATAGACAAATGTTTGAGACATTTAACCCCATAATGTGTCACCATAGGGATAAGAGGAAGTGGAACAAGTCGTGGTCAGAGGGCCTTGTGAAGGCATGACAGCACTTTTCTGAGCCAACTTCCTTATTTTATGAAATAAAGCAAAACTGCAGATTAGCAGGACAAACACTGATGGAGGAAAGAACACTTGTCTTAAAATGGTGCCTACACCTAGAAGAGGTCAAACAGTGGCAATTCCAGATAATTCCAAAACCAAAACCACTTAAACTCCCTACTAGCCCAATGACCCATTTCCAGAACACTCTAAGGCAAGAACTGCGCATGACGTCTAATTAGCATGAGAAGTGAGAAGCTCATCTAAGGGGAGGAGACGAGCTCCCTATAAAAACTGCAAAGATCAGTGTGTAGGTGCACCCCCAGAGCAGAGACTGGACACCCCGTTGGCAGGACCGATGCTGGACCCAGGGCTGGTGAAATCTCTCTCTCTCTTCTCTCCACTCCCTTTTTTTTTTCCCTTTAAGCTGCTGCTAAACCCTATAAATTTACCACGACTGTATTATGGGGATTAAGGAAATTACTGGTGAGCTCTGTTAATAAAGCTCATTGATTATTTAAAATCCCTGGTGTTCTTTTCCACCTTAATTTTAACCAAGGGAGATCAGTGAATCTGAGTCACTCGTTTCTCCCTTCTTTGGGTCAGGTGGGATGTGACAGTGACTTACTGCTTTCTTAAGTGGATTTCTTTTGCAATAACAGTGTGAGTTTTGAGCAAGGAGCAGGCTCCATCGCCTGTACAGCAAGTGCTGCTGCCATACTCCTTGTGGTGCTAGCACAGTGTCTGTTCCCTTGTGAAGGGGACTGCACAGAGTCATCTTACAATCCTGTTCCTTCACTTCAATCCTCAAAAGAAAGGAAATGATGAAATGAAGCCTTGTAGCACCTTGCACAGCCTCATATAAATACTGCTGTGCATCAAAAAATAAGCTTACTATCCTACATTCCTATCCCTAGGTACCTGTCAGACAAACTGCTTTAAAAATTTACATTATTCAGGGAAGCCATGTACCAGCTTAGAGTAGGCTCAGTAAGAGTCTTACAAAGATAGCGTCCCTGCAAGCAGAATTAACACCGAGATATAAAACCAGGGCACTGCAATAACGGGAAGGTAGAGGAAGGTGATTTTCCCCCTTAATCCTACTCGATACTGGTCTTTTTAAAAATGGTATTGATCAGCAACATAGCTTTAATCGATGCAAGAAGTCAGAAAGCTTGAGTTTACTCAGATGTTGAAGATGCATCAGTGTGGAAATTAATAGGATGGACTTACCACAGCTTGAGAAATCCTGGATTTACTTCTAAATCTTTGCTAAAACATATATGCATCTCTTTCTTTTGCTTTAAGATATTTGGTATTGTTTAAACACCTAATATCTCAGATTTGATGTGCATTCAAACACACAGGGTCACAAGACTTGTCTGTAAATAGGGCATTTTTTTCAAATATATATTGTGTTACCAGATAAAGCTTTAAAATATAATTAGCCTAAAAATAATAGGCAGTTATTTCTCTTTTAGGATGTACTTAATAAATAATACAATCACTTCAATACAATTGTTTAACATTTTCTGCTTTGAGAAGTTCAACTTTATTCAATTAGTTCTACAGTATTAACATATATAAACATACATTGTAAAAATCAGCTATGGTCTCTTTAAGAAACAGTTTCTAGACTTCCATTTGATTTGTCAATATGTTATATTTTGAATTTGGTCTAACCTACGAAGTTCTTTACATCTTTGTTGCTTTGTATTTTAACACAGCTTTGGTATGATTGTAGTATCTTTTAGCAGCTACTCAGATATTGTATATTCTAGTGTAAGATTTGTCTTCTCTTTCCCACTTCCTTTTGCTTCTGCATTCTTTTCAATGAGGCTCCCAACTGAATATGAGAGGAACGGGAGATTTGAGGGCTCAAGGTGAGGGTAAAATTTTTGTTTAAAATGTTATTTAGGTGAGTTTGAACCTTTCTCCCCTTGATTATGTGGCATAGTGGCTTCAGGTGACAGCTTTTGTTTCGTGCAAGGCTTTGAAACTAAACAAAGAAGCATTTCTGTCTGCAAAACAGCTCTTAAAGCCCTGACTGACTTGGTTCTAAACTTTCATCTTTCCTGTTACCTTTCCCCTTGTGTGTTTTTTTTTGCATTTTAGTCATTATAATTTGCTGTTGTCTTGTAAATTAGTAGGTAAGTGGCCTCTAATGAGTCTGCAAATGTGTGGGATAACCACTGAAGGGTTATAAGGTATTTCTCATCTCCAGAATCACAGATAGTTAAGCAGTGTTTTTCATGTTATACTCTTCTTCCAAAATCTGCATATCAAAAAATAATAGAAATTATCAAATGTGTGCTGGTTCTGCCAACTGTTTTCAAGTAGAAAAAGTTTTCAAAAATTTAATGAGCATTGAATAAAAGTTGATGTTCCACCTGCCCCCTTACAGCCTTGTTAAAACCTTAAAGCTAAAACAAAATACTCTTTCATTTGCTTGCTGAATTTTATAACATCTGGCAAATCATGTAGCTGGATTTGACAGCGTAATCCTCTGACTCTCGCAGTTACTGGAATTCTTTCCAATAGAATGGTGAATTATGAAATAGCTTATCTTTGAGATATGTATTTAATTTTGACCTTGCTATCACTTTTTATTTAACTTTTGCATAATTGCCTGCTTAATGCTGGTTAGAAGGAAAGCATTGTGTAACCAGAAATTCATTGCCAACTATTTTAAAGAGTGGCTTGACTTAATAGTGTAAATTGCACTTTGAAGTTCAGCATGAGACCTAACCTGTATGGTGTGGGGTCGGCTAGGTTAGGTATTTTTCAGAAAATAATTATGCCTGACAGTCAATATATTTAAGTCTGTTGTTCTCAGTACAAGTAAATTTTAAGAGGCAACTGACAGCATGCAAATATTCATAAAGCAAATATGTCATTTTTTTTCCCCCAGAAGTCCAAATGTAGTTCCTTATTCTTTAGCTGTGTGACCACTGATTTAATTGAAATGGAAGAATCATTGCAAACTAGAAATTTCTGGAACTCTTCCTTTCTTTGTACTATATGACCTTATTTATCCTTACTAAAGGAAAAGCTTTTTTATTTAGGAAAAAAAAAAGTTGCAGCCTCAATATTTTGTGCTTTATCTCTTAAAGCTGTGACAGTAACAGTAACCCTCTTACTTGCTGTCTTTACTAACAATGTTGATGAGGTGTCTTACAGTGACTGCCAATTTCCTGCATTTCAGCCTCAAAGGCACTTAGTTCCATAGCTCGTAGCAGTGAAAGATTTCATCTCTTTGCCTGTATCAGTCCTTGGTGTTAAAGAAATTCCTGACCAACTTAGACACAAAACATTTCCTTCCTGTTAAAGGTAACCCCAGTAGCCTACAATGTGGTGTGTCTCTAGTGACCATCTCAAACACTTACCAGTGCAGGAAGGCCAGAGCGAACCAAACCAGCCCAGAACTGGGTGGCACACGTTGGCCCTGGGCAGTAGGTGGGTGATCCCTGGCTCCGCTGTCCCTCCTCCTGCTCGCATCTACTGGGCGTGCCATGGGCCCTCCCAGTGCTTGGTCTCCAACCTGCTGTGCTGGAGGAGGTGCAGAGGAACCCTCAGAATCGTTCTGCATGTGCTCATCCCTGTTGTGTATGAGTTGGGTGCCTTCCATGGGCTGGCACTCCCACAACCTGGGCTGAGCACCCTTTTGTCACAAGTCAAGGCTATTTGAATGTTCCAGAAACTTCTAGCACAGAGCTGGTGTTTCAGCTGCACACATGGCCCGAGAACAAGGGTTTGAGCAGAACCTACCTTAAAATTGAGTCGTAGGTCATGCATGTAGTTCTGCCTCCGCAAGATCATTTCCCTCATGCTCCTGACTCCAGTGACTTCCAGTTGTGTCACCTGTCGTACCATACCTTCGTTTCAGCCCCGACAGCTAATGCTTTACCTTGACTGTGTGTTTGTACAGCAGCTAGGGAAGTGGGGCATTTCTCGCAGCCGGAGCCTCTAGATACTGCTCTAATACCAGTAGTGTGCATTGAGTCTTAGTTTGCTTCACTAACATGAAACATGGAGAAGGTTGCTGGCCCTGCTAACTAACAAATTCCTGTCTTTCAGCCGCAATGTAGCTGTGGATCAGAAGGACGAGAACAAGGAAGCCAAACCTCGGTCGCTGCGTTTTACCTGGAGCATGAAAACCACCAGCTCCATGGATCCCAATGACATGATGAGGGAAATACGAAAGGTCCTGGATGCCAATAATTGTGACTATGAACAAAGAGAGCGTTTCTTACTTTTCTGTGTCCATGGAGATGGGCATGCGGAAAACCTTGTACAGTGGGAGATGGAGGTGTGTAAACTGCCAAGACTGTCCCTGAATGGAGTTCGCTTTAAGCGGATATCGGGAACATCCATAGCTTTTAAAAACATTGCTTCCAAAATTGCCAATGAGTTAAAGCTGTAACAAGAAAAATAGTTAAGTTGTAAATTAGTTAGCAATTTCAAGTGTTTTTGAGAATTCCGATGGAAATGTATAGAATAACATTTAGGCAATAACTTCTGCATCCTTCTGAATAGTGATATTAAAAAAAAAAAAAAAAAAAAAAAGCTGCTGAGCTGGGAGGGAGAGTTGGACTTTTTTATAAGTGCACTACAGCATTAAAGTTGCCTACTATGTAAAATATTACCCCTTCTGCTTTATTTCCATTGCTCCTAAGTCTTTGACAACAAATTGAAACACAGAATATATTCATTAAAATATGCCTCCTGTTTGTGTGGATGTGTGAATGTACAGTATGTGTGTATAATATATAAAGTATTATATGTAAACAAATCATTTACAACATCGAGCTGTACCAGTACCTCTTTCTGGGCTAATTTTGGTGCTAAAAATTGAAATGGCCAAGGAGGAAACACTTGAGTTGATATTTAAAATAACTGAAGCGATAACCAGTAAATGCAGGTTTACAGTTCACTGCTGTGTTAAGGAAAAAAAAACAAGTGTGTGAAGGGTTTGGATTTACGGTTGTGAACATTATTAGTCCTATTTTCTAAGTAGATCTCATGAGATTATTAAAAATTCACTTTTCCTGAGTAAGTCTTGCATTATATTTTGCCCACCTATTTATTATTTAAGTCTGAATCCAATTTTAAAAATGTAGTTGGTTTGTGCATTAAAATTTGGGTAAACGCTCCTGTTCTTTTGCTTCTACTAAACTACTATAATTGTATCTTTGTCCTTTTGGCTTATGAGTATTGATTGCAGCTAAGAACACTTTTCTGTTGTTCCATCATTCCTCTGCAGAATGAGGCAGCCTAAAGGGATGTGCTAAATGCTTACTGGTGACTTTTTCTTTCAGACCAAGTTCTCCACGTTAGACTAGGTCAGAGTGATACAAAGCACAAAAGGACTCTAAGGTCACGACAGTATTTTGATGTAAGGCACCATGTCTCAGTGCTGTTCGGAGGTGGCAGTGCTGTCCTTTGTGTTCTGGGTGCGCACAGTATTGAAACCCGAAAGTGGGAATCACATTGGCTACTGATCTTCTCTGTTGTAACGTCCAACTTGCTAAACTACAGCCATAAGCAGCAGCAGTTAAAACTTTTCCTTGCAGCTCTCTTCCAGCGTGCTTCCCCTTGGCTCTGGTTGTGTTGCTTTTGGTGGCTTTGTGCCAGTTGTGTCTGTAGCTTCTGCTGCGGAGGGAGTCTATTGATGCTCTTTTAACATGCAGTGTGGACACCAGCCCTTGATGAACTCTCTGATGGCCAGCTAAGCTTTATGTAGGACACAAAGCTACTCTGGGATGGTCCCCACTTTTTAACCATCACTGTGGTGAGCCGGATTTGATTTTGCAAACTAGAATGAAGAGATTTCTTCATACGTTGTTTCCTACTGATACTCAGTTTATTTCATCAAGGACTTCTGTAGATAATATCCTGCATTATCTACTTGACTTTTTGTATTAATACTTCATGGTTATATTTCAGTGAAGCATTTAAGCATGTACTTAACATGTGCTTTAAACTGGAGCCTAACTTTGCATTTTAAATTTGCAGTGAGCTAATAGTTATTCATAGTACACAGTTCAGGTTTGACCCGAAGTGAAAATGCAAAATCCTTAATATTTTGCAAGTTAGTTCTTGTGATCTGTAGTCTGAGAAGGCAGCAGACTCCCCCTC